AATGACATGCACAGGATGTGTACATCAAAGTAAACGGATACAATTGACCGGTCTATACGGAATACTACTCCGGAGTACGGAGTAGTGCAGCTTGATATACGACAGCGCGAATCAGGCTTTACATTTAGCATGGAGTAGTGGATCCATACGTTTCACTTGCTTAACTTCTTCAAGGAATGCAGTTCGAATCATTCGTTGGCGCCTTCACATTTAAACCGGGGATGACAGTTGCCGAAGCAATGATCCATCCCCTATCGACAACAGAGTATTCCCGCCTCGTGCAAGACTAGCAGGGAAAGAAAGGGGGAAAAGATAAGCGATGGCCATTAAAGGGTGCCGTCGGGACTGTACAACGTAGCAAAGCAAGGGACTATCAAACTAAGAAATTTGAATGATAGACACAGCTAATATGCAGAGAGCAGATCACGAACACTCTCGGTCTGCACATTCAGATTCTTGTTCGAAACTCACATAACATGCCAGGGACTTTTGTTGTATCATACCAGTTAAATTAATCTCCCAGGCTTAATGTAATATGTACTCCGTACTGTAGATGAATTGTATGGAGTACCTCTTCATTCTTAATCAAATGTCAGCTGCATAAGAGCCTAGACCTCATACCTGTGGAGGCCTTTTACCCTGATGAGTCTGGCACCATGTATTCCTCCTTATTGCGTCAATCAATTCTAGATACCCCTATCCAAATACTTTCATTTTAGACAAATGCCTAGTTAAGTTGTATGTACTTGTGTACTCCGGGATTCTAGTTGATTTGCATATATTATCCATGTGGGTGGATAGCACTATGTACCTAATTTTGTATCCTACTGTTGCCTACTTAAGTAGTTCGCCCCCAAATGGCGGGGATGACCTGTACTACCCAGTAAAAAAGTAAAGGGCAATTATCGGGATTCTGTCCCACCCATGTACAAGCCTGATACTCCGTACTCCATGAGGTCTCCTAGATCATTCTAGGAAGGCGCAACTGTCGGAAACAATTGGATTAAAACGAGCTTTGTAAAGCTATTCAAGGAAAAAGGGGCTCCGGAGACAGACTAGGCCCATGCAGCAATTACGTGGTCGCAATGGGGCGCATCCCACTGCAGCCGCGCACAGTTTCATCAAATTAGTACTTACTCAGTAAGAGATGATTTACATGTGTCCACAGAGATTGCCCGGATGGCTTGGAAACTAGTACCTGGCCGATGTGCTTCCGATGCGCCCAGCCGGGGCGGTATCGTACCTCCTAAAAAGGGGAAGAAGAGCCTTGCAAAACCACGTCTGGCCATATTTGTCTCCTGACGCATGTCTCGCCCCATGTTTCAAGTACCGACAGCATGAAGCAGTCTAAAGGATGAGGGTAACTTTAAAGCGCGCGCATATGGCGATGGGCATATGTTGTAATTTGAGTCTGGACTTGGTCTGGCACTTCTATTGGCCCCGGACCCTTTAGCTTCCCGTAGCGGATTAGTTGCAATTTGATCTATTTTTGGGTGTGAGTTTCAACCTCTCATTTATTTTAATCACAGGCATTTTACTCAACATGGTTCTTTGGATAGAGAACTGCCTGTTAGAAGCGCTTCGGTTAATTCAAGGGGTGCTTTGATCCTTGTTTGTTGGGTGTTTGGCAAGTAGAACCTCACCCGCAAACACCCAGCAATGCAAGTCAAGTCTTCAAGGAGGTGTTCACTTGTCTATGAATGAGCAAAACTTAAATAGCCTGCCATCGGTTGGTTTCCCCGGTTCCTGCAAGTTCTCGCCCCGATGGGGCGCGGTATATAGATGTGGTTTCCCTTGCTCATGACCCTGCAAATCAAGAGACAGCAATATAACCCTTCGATTTCCCTCCACGTGGCTTATTTCACTTGCCGTAGATGTGTATATTTCTTTCTGCAAGGGGAATATCCTTCTACTAGACATATTGTATTCTGTACTGCAACATACGGGGTATACAGGGAGTTCATTAGTCTAAGGAGGCGTCAAACCATCATCTCGGATTTCTGCTTCTAATGTAGATCAATGCTCATTTCGCAGACATTACTCGTTTGTTTGAGAGCGGTGTGGACTGGATATTAGATATCTCATCAGATCATGTACCAGCTACATGTTCTGCATCAAAATATCATCACTGATAACTGATGTGTAGGGTAATTATTTTTCAAGTGGATACTATGTGCATTATATACACACAATACAAGCACTATCTAATTCATACTTGATATCCCATATCGGTACATTTCATACTCCATACAGAGTACTCCGTATCTAGAGACCAGTTTCCGAGACTTGCAGTTTATACAAAACACCCTAGTATGATACAGCCCACAGAAAAACCCAACAAAAGAACCCGATACAAACGTAAGTGTGGGATCCGGTCTTTTTTTTTCTCGCCTCGCAGATGGATCCATTCTACTCCGAATTAATGCCTTCCGACATCACACGCCTGCTGAACCATGGAATCATCGCCAATTCCGAGTACGCAGTACCCGTGGACGTAACCCAAACTCCACCTTCAACAACGGTTATCCTAGGGCCGTGCCGGGATATATCAACCATGGTACTATTGGAAAAGATCGAAATCCCCACCGCTTTTTCTTTCCTGTTCACCGTCTGGTTTCCATTGCAACATGGTTCTAATGTATGTCTAATGTATGTTGTACGTATGCGCGAGTTCATTTTCTCTTCCGCCCCGCTATATCTGATTATTTTCCGCTCCACTGTCCATCCTAAGGTGAAAAGAAGATGTGGCGGAACTGTGGCGGTTGTCGGATAGTGCGGATACCGTACGCACAAAGAAGTTGAAATTTGTGGCTATGTTTCTCAGATACCTACATGTAGGTTTTTAGTGGCTATAATCATCGCTATAATTTCTACTCCGTAGGTAAACTTATAGAACCTTAAATACCATTTAGATATCTCTTGAACCATTATTGCATTGGAACCGAATTACTGTCTATATATTCAAATACATTGGATTCCGGAGACTCTTCGGTTGTATATCGCAGCGAAATCCCACATACATATTTATTTCCGTATGTATCGGGCAAAAAACTGCATTCTTGACCGGTGAAAATTTGATGTTTCGTGGCCCCTCTGCGGGGAGTTATACAAATGTCACAAAGGTTTTTCTGTGTTTGGCAGAAACAGATCCACTACACAGGTTTTTTTTCCCTCTTCTTCTTGGTCCTTAAGTTGAAGAACATTTCTAGGTAGTGGACGAGGTGCATGAAGTTGATATGAAATGCGCGCAAACCCTGCAACTAGTACAGAGTACGAGTACTCCATATGAAGTAGTGCCACGGATTTACGTACATCTAATTTCCGAAATTGCCTCCATAGGATAGCCATTTGCGAGTTTCTGTAGTCTCTTCCCTTCCTCTAAACATAAATAGATATCTCTCAAGGCTGCCGTGAATCGATTCTTCTGTCCTGTGTTCTACAGAATCGTTGTGAAACTCCACCGCGAATAAGGAAGATGCTAATTATTATTCACCACGCGGACTGGATCGGGGATTCAAGACAATATGGCCCCTTTGGGAATAGTTCAACATACACAGCTTGACTGGGGCAGCGGAGGCTCAAACCATGGTTAGACTGTTTTTTTCACTCCCCTATTCCCCGCCCCTTTTCTTTAGCTTTCTTTCAATTCAATTTGAAGTTGCCACTGACCATCACAGTTCGACCAGTTTTAGTGACTAGGACTACAGGATAGTGTTGAATCCTTCCAAATCGGATCAATTGACCTAATCTATCCGTCATTTTTCTCGCAAGACTTCTTTCACACAGCAAAGGTAACCGGAGCTGCAAGGCTGTTCATTACATCGCTAAACCTGACGGGGCTTAGGGCATAAAACAGAGTGGAGAATACCCGTAGTGTAAGGAAAGGAAAAAGGTCCACTTTGAAGCTTTACAATTTCAATGTACCGGGTACTGTACAACATACATACAAAAATGTACAAAAGTCTGTCCGAAAGAGGATAAATTGAATTTGTACTTTGTTGCCTTGTCCCGAGTTCTTCCAAGGTTTACCGTTCACACGGTAACTCGAAACCTTTGAATTTCACCCCAACCTTGGAAGGAACCCTCATAAATCAACTTCCTAAGAATACATATGTGGATGTGTCTCTTACCTGAGACTCATAGTTTAGTCTATGCCGTCATTGCTAGGTTCGCGTCCCACACTTCTCGCTTTCCGTATTGCGCGTTCGCTTTATAGTGATCTACCAAAATTTGAGAAAGATGTACCAGAGTGGGTTAAAATTTTCTAATCAATTTCAGCTCTCCGTCAATAATATATCTCAAAATGAGGGAATGGTTTGATTTTGCTTGTACGAGGTATAGTGGACCTGGAAAAGGCACATGCAGTCGGCCGCTCGGTCACCTTCTGCTTAACGAAGACAATTTGCTTTCTATCTTGGCGCGAATCCCAGCAAAACTCTCGTGCCCATCATTTCGGATTATCATTATGTTTATATTGCCGATCCGGTATCTTTGTTATCCGAGGTAAATCCAAACTTGGTAAATAAGGTCCAATGGGGAAGGTGCGATGAAAGCCAAATTGGAGCCAATCGTGAACTATAATATAAGTCCACTAGCCTTGTGTCTATGACCTCGCCATCTTTGGCGCAGCAGCACGCGATTCCACGAGGCCCAATTAGGGGTTACCGGCTCGACAAATAATATCATCTATTTCGCCTAGGTCCGGAGTACAATGTACGACATACGGACTAACTAGTTAACTAACTATCGGGTCTACCGCAATGTCCTCAAAGATCACGGTCCATCTCAGCTGGATACAATACCCATATGTGGACCGAACTTGCACCAGCCTCTTATGAAAATAGATCAAGCACAAGCACACGAAGAATAATCTAATTAAGTTCAATGAGCCAGGGTCGCGCCAATCCCCCTCAAAGCCAACCACAATTCCGGAGGATAGTCAGGTCAAAGGTTACTTTGTACCGAAAAACAACACGAACGTGAACGTTCAAATCAATGAAATGACAGGACAAGTGTTCCCTGATATCAGCAAAACCCAAGCGAACTATCGATCCAATGCGCCCGAAGTTGGGTCCGAGCCCATGCTGACAGGGGTGTCTCCAATGGCCACCCCCGCAGCTGCTGCCTGTAACCAAAGTGGAATCCCGCCATGCAACCCGCACAATGAAGGCTATTTTGTCCTTGGAATGTTTCAAGACGGCATGGAAACATGGAAAACATACACTCGAAATTCTACCAGGCCCCCCGCAGCAGATGTCTTACACCGGTCTGGCCGAGGTTGCCTTATTCGCACTATGATTCGAGACTATCCAATGGCGATGTGGTAATTCATCTCAGCCTCCCCTGTCTTTTAGCCTGTTCATGCTCATCCAGTGATATGTTGTCATGGCGATTAGATGTGGGTTGTCTGTTGCAGAGCCAAGTACTCTCACGGCCTATCAGAGTGTTTAATTGCAAGTATCTCAGGAGTCCAATACATAAGCAAGCATAACAGGTTACTTTCAATCAGCCACAAAGAACTACGACAAGCTAAAAAATGATGGTTGCTTCTGACGTGGCAGCCCGTCGACGGACCGTCACTCTCTACCCTTTGTCTGATAGGGACTTGCCGCACCCATTCGCGATTGCATGTTACTATTGGTTGATAGGCTGCGTTGGTCGTGGCGCAATATGTCTAACTACTCTACTCGCGCTGACAGATTCAGCTGAGCCTGCATTTTTGGGGCAGATTTCCCGCTGGCTCCCTTACATTTGGCATGGTAATTCCATATACAATGGTCTCGAAGAGCACGATGCAGTTCATGCCACGCCACTGAAATTTAAAACTGGGCTACAGCCCGAGTGTTTAGTTTACACTGACGAAACTTGCTCAGATATCCAATGGTGCTGCCGTACACCCCTGATCAAGACTGCAACACGACCAAGTCAGGTTGCTGATCGGTAATTGCTTCCTAATCAATAAGCGGACGGTACCTAGGTAGGGTTGTTGACCGCTTCTTATTGGTTAGTCGACTTTCAATTCACTCATCTCTTTCTGTGACGATGAGTTGCAATAGGGAATTCGAAGATATCCCACAACGCTCGTGGTGTTGCACAAATACAATATTCCAATACCACTTCTTTTTTTGCTAGGCGGTTAAGACGCATTGGATATACAGTGGCTATTGTCTATGTACCTTTTGAATTTACAACTACATGTGTCCATTTCGTCCTATACAAGTGTATACTTCAAGGTTGAACCCGATGCCATAGCATATATATAGGTACTAGTCGACCCCGGGAGACACTTATATTTCAAATTGGAAACTAGAGTCTAATAAAGCACATCTAATCGACAGAATTGCTTTTAGCCACGGCGATATATCATCGTTATTCTTCGCTCTTATGAACGTTCATGTATCGATATGTTGGCCTGATTCACAAGGCATCATGATATTTGAACATGCCACACGTGATTTCGGAGAAATATACTCAACTAGCCAAGATATTCCGGCCGCTAAAAATTATCTACAGAAAAAAAAAGCGGCAGCGCAACAGTCGCAAGGAAAGCTTTGGCACCACGTTATAATCACCCATTTGTGTTTAAGATATGACTGTCTAAAGGCTGGATTTACAGCCTAAGCTGAATTATTTCTGAATTGATCTTCAGCACCCCTATTTCTGATTTGCACACCGTTCAAACCCATCCGAAACGAGCTCTCTGGCTTCGAAGCCCACATCTTCAATCATGGATATCCACCGCTGCCGTTTCGTTTCTTATAACCCACAGGCGATCAATGCACTTGCATTCTCGCATCCCCCGTCAGCAGATCTAGCTGGACGTGGCGTACCCACCCTCAGACTCGCGATCGGTCGTGCGAACGGTGATATTGAAATATGGAACCCGATGCGCGGCGCCTGGTTCCAGGAGACTGTGATGCGTGGAGGAAAGGATAGAAGCATCGAAGGGCTTGCATGGACTCTGGATCCCCAGGAGGACGGGCCGGATGGCACCAAATTACCGGGAAAGCTGCGTCTGTTTAGCATTGGATACTCCACGGCCGTCACCGAATGGGATCTTGAGAATGGTCGCCCGCTGCGTCACTCCAGTGGAAACTATGGAGAGATCTGGTGTCTTGCTGCGCAGCCCCGCTGGCAGCCGACCAAGGGCAAAGATGGAAAGGTCGTTCCTCCCGCCGAGGGCGAGCACACCGGTCAGCACCTCGCCGCAGGATGTGCGGATGGGTCAATTGTCATCCTGTCTACTGCCGATAACGAGCTCAAGTTCTTGCGTCTGATGCGTCCCTCAACGAAAAGAGCGCGCGTCCTGAGCGTTACCTTCCAGAACCGCCATACCATCGTCGCTGGTTATGCTGATAGTTCTATCCGTCTCTTTGATATTCGTACTGGTCAGATGCTGCGCACGATCTCTCTGGGTAAAGGCCCCACTGGTGGCCCGAAAGAACTGTTGGTTTGGTCGGTGAAATGTCTGCCAGATGGCACGATCGTTTCCGGTGACTCGGCTGGTGAAATTCGATTCTGGGATGCGAAGAACTATTCCCTCGTTCAACGGATACAGGGTCATCTCGCCGATACTCTTGATATCGCAGTGAGTGCCAATGGAGATACTGTTGTCAGTGGAGGTGCCGACCAGAGGACGGTCGTCTACCGCAAGAAGGAGGGCGAGAAGGGCGACAAGAAGGGTCGCTGGGCTGAGATTATGCATCGTCGCTACCACACCCACGACGTCAAGACCTTCGCTGTCTATGAAACAAAGGATATCAGTATTGCTGTGTCTGGAGGTATGCTAACCCTGGCCCACTACCAATTTGAAGTGTTCTAGCAATGCTAACTTGTTTCGTTCAAAGGTCCCGACGCAACACCGATCGTTCTTCCTCTTCGTGAATTCGGAAAGGAACACCACCGCAAGCTTTCGAGTCTCCCCCAGATTCCTCAGCTCACCTCCGCACCGTCGTCTCGTTTGGTTATGAGTTTCTGGGACAGAGAAGTGAGCCTGTGGCGTGTGTCTCGAGGCCCTACGTCTTTACACGAGAACATTGATGGCCAGCGCCATAGACTCGTTGGTAAGGTTCTGATCCAGGGCGAGGAAAATATCTCATCGGCGATGCTGTCGTCAGATGGCAAGACGTTAGCTGTTGCAACAATTTCTGAAGTCAAACTATTTTCTCTCCGTCGCCGAAAGGGCGATGAGAAGGGTGCTCTGCGCATCCAGAAGATCGACGTACCCAAGGTACTTTCCGACGAAGGTGCCCGCCTTGTGACCATCTCCCCCGACAGCCGATGGCTTTCAATTGTTCGCCCCAACAGCGACATTTACATGGCAAGGATCCAGCCAACATCCGCATCTAATGAGAAGCCTCAGGTGATGCCACAGTTCGCAAAGCTCAAGAGAGCCACACGTCATGTACGACACGAAAAGGCATCCCACGGAACATTGGGTGACTACGAGAGAACGATACGATCCGTGGTGTTTTCAGATGACAGCAAGATTCTGGCGAGTGGTGATATCTCTGGTTGTGTCGACACCTGGGTGCTCAGCACAACGACAGGATCCGCGACCGGTGCGATCAAACGTAACGGAGCCTCAGAGTCCGATGATGATTCATCCGACGACGAGGACGAGGACGTTGTAATTGAGGGCGAGCGCTGGACTACCGCTGCCACCGAATCACCAATTCCTCGTATGAAGTCCGGAATCACTTTGTTGTCCTTCCGTCCCAAGTCTGCCCCCGCACACAAGCTTCTTGCCAATGGCACTCATCAGTCTGACGAAGATCGCTTGATGGTCCTCACAAGTGAGCACCAGCTGATCGAATTTGATGCTCGGGATGGCAAATTGTCCGACTGGTCTAGACGCAACCCCAAGGCATACCTCCCCGCAGAGTTCCGAGGCGTTAAGGACCGAGCCATGGGCTGCATGTGGGATCTCTTTGAAGGCCGCGAGCGCCTTTGGCTCTACGGAGCATCTTGGCTGTGGATGTTTGATCTGCTCCAAGACTTCCCCTCCCCCGAGGAGGCTAAGGCTGTGGCCGACGAGGGCAAGACCGCGGGTCAGCTTGCCAAGGCATCGAAGCGCAAGCGCGAAGCCCTCGACGACGACGAGGAAGAGCGGAGGAAGCACAACACCGGTGCCGGTGACCGAATCCCTCAGTCACAAATGGATGTCCACTTTGGTACCAAGGTCCGCAAGATCGTCGGGAGCGATGAATCCCAGGGAGAATGGATCTTGCTGGATAAGGAACGTCCCCGTGTCCCAGGCGAAGATGACGAGGCCTACGAGTACGACGAGACCTTTGCGGCCACCAATGAGACCACACTTGCCCGTCTACGACGCGGAGATGGAACTGCGGTCGAACCCGAAACCTCACAAAAGGGATCACGGAAGACCGCTGGCGATACCCCGAAGAACCAGCTGGTGGAGGCTAATGGTGCCTCGGTTCAACCTACACGCCGATGGTGGCACACTTATAAATACCGTGATATCCTCGGAATCGTACCACTCAACACCGCGTCGGATGACGATTCCGACGACCAGAACCCGAGTGGGATGCTGGAAGTTGCAGTGGTGGAGCGACCTATGTGGGACGTTGAGCTGCCTGGTCGTTATGTGAAGGACTACGAGTGAAGCAGAGAGATGTGAGAGGGCTTTCTGTAAAAAAAAGAGAATGCAGCTGATTCGACATGTAATTTGGTCATTTGAGCATACTTGGAGGAGCGCATGTTATCGGCGCCTTATGTACAGGGATTCTGAATTGATGATTACCCCCAAAATTAACTCCATAACTGGACTCTCGTATATCCCTGAGATCTAAACATCTCTGAAGTACCAAAGTCGGGACAAAGGAACCTTAAAAATCCCGAGCCCCCAAGGTTTACAACGGCGATCCAGAACCAGTGCGGGGCCTTAGGCTGAGAGACTTAAAGCCTCCAAGTTCACGCTCCCTTGACTTTTAAACCCTCTGTACACCTGGGCACTCTCTAAAACTGAGCTGATCTTTCTGAAAAATACAAAAAGCCTTGAATCCACTACATTACGTTGTCTCCGTGTATCCCGAATCTCTTCCGATCCGCTTATCGGCTTATCGTCTACACGTCAGCTCCAGGACTGTCAAGTCCGACACATCTTCCTCCTTCCATATAGACCCTCTGCAAGGGCCAGGGATACTCTATCATAAATCAAGAAACCCTACATTTGCCAGAACATACACTCTGAAGAAATCCAATAGGGAGGTCAACGGCAGGACTGCAGCATAGGTCCTCCCAAGTCGAAGCCAGGGCGGGGCCAACTACTCCAGATCGAAGAAAGCAGGCAAACACACTGCCCCTTTTCAATAAACGGACCACATATCCCCCTCTATACTCAAGTTTCAGCTCACCGCTGCTTCGAACTCACCTCTCAGGACCTCGGCTGCCATCTCAGAACCCCCAACAGAATCGCATCCTACTTCCGACAATAACCGCATAACTTCAGCCACCATGGGTCTCTCATACAACGTTTACTTGACTGCCAACAAGATCTTTGGTTGTAAGGGATGCAAGACCCATCTGGCAGACTTCAATGAGATTATGAGCCGGGTATGAGAATTCATCAAATCCTCTTCTTCCTACACACTTCCTACTAAAAATAGCCTGTTGCTGACGCATGACTTTTGACTGCCTAGAACTTCCGAGGCCAACACGGGAAAGCATACCTCTTCAATAAAGTTGTCAACGTCACGCAAGGCGAAGCTGTAGAGCGCAGCATGACAACAGGACGACATATTGTGCGCGACATTTCGTGCAGACAGTGCAAGGAAACGGTAGGATGGAAATACGACAAGGCGTACGAGAACAGTGAGAAATACAAGGAGGGAAAGTTCATCCTCGAGGAGGAACTCTTCTGTGTCGTTTGTTAGTGGGAGGGTGGTTTTCCTTCCACTCATGCGATAGCCCTCGTGTCGACATTGATCTTTGCCGTGCACCCCGACAGGCCGATTCTCGGTTCTATGATACGAACGGGATTTGCATTCTCTGGGCATTCTTGCGTTTCTATGTTTTTTCAAGACTGGTGATTCTTGTGACTTGTTTTGCTTTCTCTTTCTCTTTTCTCGGCTTTGGTATTTGCGAAAGGCGCCACTAGGAGTATTTGCTTTTCTTTGTTCCGTTTCTTTGGACACAACGGAACTGAACTAGCCACACATTTGCAGAGCAGAACTTGGGGTGTCAGTCAGCTTTTCTAGTACGTCCTTGGAATACATTTTGAAGGTTTATATCATTCACGTAGCATCCACCATCTATAAGAGTGAATGCCCGTTTTCTTTGAGTAGTCACCCAAATTTCCTCGGAGCTATTCTGTCTATATCTACAAACATATACATCGTATAGAACTAAACCTTACTAGAAAAACAAATAGTCTCCATCTATATCCTATTTTCGGCGCTTTCAGTGGAGACTTACCACCGTAGGTGGGCACACTGTACCAGCCCCACTAAGTGACTCGCACAGAAGCCCGAGACTGGAGGAAATTAGTCAATAGATTTCTTTATAACCCATTCGGATCCATCTACAATCTGATCGTTCGATATTGAAGAAATTTGGCTTGGGACATCCACTGTCATTGTAGCAGCTGACTCCGAATTCCCCCACCAAACCGCCAAAGTAGGTCTCTGCTATCGTACTTCAACTGTCAGATTTCTGTAAAAAGTCTGAAGGCTGACCATTATCAGAATGACTCCCGCTCCCTCGGATTCTGGTATGATGCAGGCGGTCGTGTTTCACGGCCCCCATAAGGTAGCTGTTGAGCAGAGGCCTATTCCCAAGGTGCAGAACCCGGAGGATATTGTAGTCAAGGTGGGGTATACTGCGCTTTGTGGAAGGTGGGATTGATCTATACTTAACTTGCAAAAAGACTATCATCGCTAATTTTCATGATATCCTTTAGTGAGTTGCACATGTTCCGTGGCATCGAGCCGGCAGGAACAGGATTTATTATGGGTCACGAGTTTGTTGGCGAGGTTGTTGAGATGGGCAGCGCCGTCAAGACTCTCCAGAAGGGTGACCGTGTTGTCACTGCGTTCACTACTTCCTGGTAAGTTACATCCTCATTAGATGCTCGTTTTGAAGAGCGGTTGTACGAACATTGCGCTGACATCATCGATAGCGGCGAATGCTTCTACTGCAAGCAAGGGTGGTCTTCTCGCTGTGATAAGAACGGTCTTTTTGGATGTGACAGCTTGGACGGTGGACAAGCTGAATATGTGTGTTTCTAACCATATTGTGGCTTTTGCTCTACATATCAATACTAAGACTACACAGGCGCGAATCCCCAATGCTGACGGTTCCGTCATGAAGGCCCCCCGAGGGCGTTGACGAGAAGTATCTGGTGCTTATGGGAGATATCTTCCCCACGGGCTGGTTTGCAGCCAACAATGCATTCAAGAACTCGACTCCTGAGCAGATTGCTGAACAGACTGTGGTCCTGATTGGATGTGGACCTGTCGGTCTCTGTGCGCTCATCAATGCTCTGGAATACAAGCCCAAGCATATCCTGGCGGTTGACTCGGTCCCGTCGAGACTGGAGCTTGCCAAGTCACTCGGTGCTGAGCCATGGAACTTCCAGCTGGACCGGGCTGGTCTAGACAAGCGTGTTCAGGAACTGACAAATGGACGTGGTGCCGATGCTGTCATCGAAGTTGTCGGTTTGAGCCCTGCCTTACGCACTGGCTTTGAACTTCTGCGACCTTGGGGAACTATTAGCAGTGTCGGTGTCCACAATGGAGAGGTAAGTAGATCTGGATTTGAATTTGGGTTAAGTATTGTTGCTAATGAGATATACTCAGATTCCTTGGGACGGCAATGATGCCTATTCCAAGAACCTGACTGTCCAAATGGGGCGATGCCCTGTTCGGTCTGTTGCTCCTCAGGCTCTAGAGGTGCTCAAGAGAAACCAACACAAGCTTGGGTGAGTGTGACTATGGTATATATGACTGATATATTAGTGCTAACCCGTAAATAGTTTCATGGCTGATAAGATCATGCCGCTTTCGCAGGCCGTGGAGGCCTATGACATATTCAACAAGATGCTGGTCCAAAAGGTGATATTCAAAGCTGATCAGTAGAGAATATGTATATAACCAGGTAATAGTAAATAGAAAAAAAAAAAAAATAGCGATAGAAGAGTAGAAATATAACGAATATATATACGAAGTAAAAAAAAAAAAGAAGTCCCCCCCAAAAAAGAAGAGGCAGATTTTCATACTCGGGTTCTCCGCTTAAAGCAAAACACCTCCAGGGCTCCTCCACCACTTGAACTTCTTCACTTCACATCTTCCCCCATCTCCTCACCTTCTTCCCTTTTCTCTTCTTCTCCTCTTCTCCTCTTCTCCCCCTCTCCCCTTTCTCTCAGCTGCTTTTTCCTATTTCATCATTCTTCTCTCTTAACCCGAGATTCTGCCGATTTCCCCTCCCATCCATTTCTCCACTTCCTATCTCCCTCATTCTGTAAGTCCTCACTCTTTCTAGTTGGATTCTATTGCATGGGTTTCCTTCACTTGAGGATATGCGCATAGTCGCGTGTCTTATGCGCACTCATCTTTGCCTCTATTACAAAACTGACCTTGCCACTATTGGAGTGTGAAGTCTCTACCGTCCGCATCTCGCGACCGTACGGTCTTAAAGAAACCTATCCCGTCACTCACTTGACCCTTTCAACCCATTTAACCCGTTTAACCGCTTCTCCCATCTCCATCAATTACCGATTACCGACAAAAATGGATTCCACTGAGATTCACCAAACCACTGTCGTGGACGAGCCCATGACTGACAACTTCAACGACAACCTCGCCGATCAGGGTGACCTCGAGGCCCCCCCTCAAGACCGAGGAGGAGTATGCTATCGCTGAGTTGACTCTGCGTGCTATTGTTTCCTCCAAGGAGGCCGGTGTCATCATCGGCAAGGCGGGAAAGAACGTTGCCGATCTCCGTGACGAGACCGGTGTCAAGGCCGGTGTGAGCAAGGTAGTTCCCGGTGTCCATGACCGTGTCCTGACCGTCACTGGTCAATTGCGCTCTCTGGCTCGCGCCTATGCGATCGTGGCAAAGGGTCTTTTGGAAGGTGCCCCGCAGATGGGCATGGGCGGCATTGTCTCTAACAACGGGACCCACCGTAAGTGATATCTTTTTTTGTTCGCCCTTGATATTTTGATCTGGACTTGTTCTTTTTGTACGGGGAGTTCAAGGAACCCATACAGAGTGTTTCTCATTCTAATCCGAGCATGTTCTAACTTTCGCTAGCCATTCGCCTTCTGATCTCCCACAACCAGATGGGCACCATTATTGGACGACAGGGCCTGAAGATCAAGCACATCCAGGATGCATCAGGTGTTCGGATGGTTGCGCAGAAGGAAATGCTCCCCCAATCCACAGAGCGCATTGTCGAGGTCCAGGGTACCCCCGAGGGCATCGAGAAGGCCATCTGGGAAATCGGCAAGTGTCTGCTTGACGACTGGCAACGCGGCACCGGTACCGTTCTCTACAACCCCGCCGTGCGCGCTTCTCTCAGCGGCTCGCAGCCCCTCAACAACAACCCCCCGGCTGGAAACGGCTACCAGAGCAACACCAACAGCCGTCAGTACAACCGCACCGGCAACGGCGCCGACTTCAGCGATGGTGGATATAACCGCCGATCCAACTCCGATGCTGGAAACCGCGGCTACCCCCTCGTTACAGAAGATGGCGAGGAGATCCAGACCCAGAACATCAGCATTCCCGCGGACATGGTTGGATGCATCATCGGCCGGGGCGGAACCAAGATCACAGAGATTCGCCGAAGCTCTGGCGCTCGGATTTCGATCGCTAAGGCTCCTCATGACGAGACCGGCGAGCGCATGTTCACCATCATGGGAAGTGCTCAGGCTAACGAAAAGGCCCTGTACCTTCTCTACGAGAACCTGGAGGCCGAGAAGACTCGCCGCAGCCAGCTTCCCCAGGAGTAAATCCCCCGGGATTATCCCTGATGTGTGTGTGCGGATGAGACGGTCCTAGCAGGACTTCTTTGTGTTCTTCTGACCTTACGACTTCCTTGAAGACTTGTCGGTCACGATCAGCGGCGGTCATGTGCTAGCGCTTCTTTTTATTTCTTTTTTATTCCTCTATTTCATTCCAATTGCTTTAGGTCTTTTTCTCTTGATCTTCTTCGGCTCTCTTTTGAGGTTCTAGCCTCACGACACATCGCTCTTATTCACAAAAAAAGACAAAAGTTCACTGCGATGGATGGAGGGTACACATGCGTATTAGATACCAAGTTTGTGTGGTCTTTATCGACCCTTGTGCGTTGAATTGCATCGCAACCCGAATGTCTCTTGATCCTCACCCTCACACCTCCATTCCCTCCCTCGCTTCCCCACATCCAGCTGAACTGTCACCCTGATGTCCTTAATCCATCCGTCTTTACCCCGATTCCTGAACCACAGACCTCTCCGCCCACCATCCCAGTCTCTACCTTCCTCCTTGTCCTTGTCATCGTTCCACCTTGTACGCCACCTGTTTGTAACTGGTAGCGTATATTGATCCTTGTCTTTCCTCCACTCTTATCTCCTCGGCTTATGTACCCTGTTCTCGTTCCCTTCCTATCCCTGACTTACTGCAATGCTACCACCTTTTACCTTACCCTCTCCTTATTGTGGTGTATCTTGACCCTTGAAAACGAAACCTTTAAATAATAAAAAAACGCTTCTTGTCTCCTAATGACTCTTCTTTCCATGTGTCTCCTTGCCTCGTACTACCTTGGCTGTTCTCAAATATGAATATCTAGTGTTAAGTGTCACTAGAACATTGCCATATCTCAAAGTGATTTCTTATATATCGTCTGCAGATGGACCGCTTAGTTTATTCGCTGTGATATTAGATATCTTTCTATAAGATACAAGACGCAAGTATAGCGCATTAGATGCCTAGATTGTATATATTACTACAAAGCAATAAAAAGTATCAAGAAAGCTCTTGAATATCTCATTTCATTCCATTCCATCATTATGTAAATGCTCATCTGCGACTCACTGACAAAAGAGATAAGAGAGAAGACCAACGTGCGGGCAACAGCCCTAGATACAAACACGTGCCCGCAACAAATGAGATGCGACAAAAGAATAAACAGGAAAAGAAAAAAAAAAACAGGGAAAAGTAAAAAGTGACATGAACCCCCTAGGCCGTGATACACAAATGAAAAAGGTGCCACCCGGTAGAGAGGTATTATGGACAAGAGACGCCGCCAATGGTAGGTTTTTGTACATGAATTTGACAAACCACCAGTAGACATACCTACTGATATGTCTATGGTGGTGAGATGATGTGTTTTTTTTTTGCTGTCAGAGATATTCCCCGCAGACAAATATGACACAGAGAAATGTAGACATAGAATAGGATGGGTAATGTGCATGTGCTGGCAGCGCGACGGGTGTGGGTTGTTTTCTTTTTCTCAAATCAAATACAGAGGAGATTCGTTAGAACGCATAGCGTGATGTTGTGTGTGGAACTGTGGACAGGAGGTAAAACTTCGCAACTGTCGTGCCGACTGGTTAGACATGCATATAACAAGCAATGCCCTTTCGAAAGATGGAACGAGAACGCCGATGTCGAAGCAGATGTCCGAAAGAAACAGGATCAGATGCGGGGTCGCTGCGTAAAAGAGTTGATGGTGACATGAGAGGCGTAGACGTTAATCGATGCTATCGTCGAGGTTTACATTGTTGGGGGTAGCTGGGACACGGTTTCGAAGACCGAATCTCCGGGCCCCTAAGCTGTTCGTTCGCAGTCGTGGTGTTTGGATTGGCGTGTAGCTGGTTGCTACTTTGCTCGATGGCGTCGAAATTCTGGTCTGGGAGGGTTCCATTTGGGGTGAGCGTAGATTTTCTTCCACGGGAGATCCTTGTACGTTATTGGAAGAGAAGCTGGGCGTTAGGCCGTAACGGCGCGACCCAGCCTGGATGTTGGCGCGGGATGTCGCGGGAGTGTACGTAGCAGGATTTATGTAGCTTCGACGGAATGAGAGACTCGATGAGAGAGTCGGTGTCCGAGGTTGTGCAGACTGCACCTGTGGCTGGGGCAATTGCGATGATTGGTATTGCGGGGAGCGGGGGGAGTATCCGGGGCCATTTTGGTCCTGCTGCGCACCGGAAATGGAACGGGATACTGTGTGACCTTGGGAGAATCGTTGCCGAGGGGGGATGGCTTGTGCAGGAAGCGGTGTGCCAATCTCTGTATTGGCTCTGGAGACCGAACGACTATGTGGACCTTCCATCTCTCCGCTCTCCTCGCCAATGGTCAGTCTGCGGCTGCGGAGGGAACTTGACATGCGATTGAGACGACTGGTTGGGTTAGATATGCCGGGGGATTGGGTTGGACTCTGCTTATCCGCCGTGTTCCCAGGACTGGCATTGACCAGGGATGCTCGACGTGCGTCAAGACGACTGGAGATGCGAGTCGTGCTGTGGCGCCGCTCAACTCCTTCGGGCTCCAGGTTCCCATTTCGCTGAAACGTTGGTATGGACATACGAGCCTCGACCCCCGTGCCATTCGATAATTGGGGTTGCACGCTGGTCTCGCGGCTGGACGAAGGTCGGGCACTCTTTAGCTGCTCATCCGTCAAGGCCAGGCAAAGCTCAGTCAAGCTACGGCAGACACTGTCCGCTTTGCGGCGGGCATGCCGTTCAGGTGAGGTGTATCCTCCATTCACAACAGAGGCGGTGCCCGACGGAGCTGTATTGACGCCCAACGCGGTGGAAAGGTTTAAAGCATCGGTTATAGTCGCCTCGAGGGAGGTGTACACGTCACCGCTCAAGACATCTTTGGCCTTGGCCAATGCGGATTGCAGAATCGGGTGCACAGGGCTATGTTCAGTATCTGCAATCGAGGCGCTGGTTTTGCGGCGCTGCTTCGGGGAGGAGGATAAAGTGGTGATGGCAGTGTTTGCGGTTCGCGGTCTCTCATTGGTAGGGGTGTACATTGCCGCTGAAGACGATGGAGGTAGCTTCCCTGTCAGTTCCAGCTTCTTGATCCGATCTTTCAGATCATCCAGTTCGTCCCAAACAGTGGATGGGGCCGTGGTGGACAGTGTCGACTCGGTTCCATCAGCGCGCGATCGTTCTGTATCGGCTCGCGGTCGCCCAGTCACTTCAGAGGCAGAAGGTTGCCGGCTGCTTCGGATTGTGGAGAGACCCGAATGGCGATTGATGCGCGGATCGTTTATAGAGGACCGACGCTCCTTCTCCTCAGCCGCGGAAGGTGTGCGCGGTGAAGTTTCTGGGCTCGTGCGACTGAAGCGGCTTCTTGGAACACCGACAACGGATCGCGCGCCGGATCCCAGGCTACTGTAGCGGAGACGATTTGGGTCGTCTAGAGGATGGGCGGATGACGCCGGAGTGTGGATAGAGCTGTAGGGGGCAGTGGGGGAATCGTTCTGGAAATGCAAGGGGCTGTCGATATTGCTATACCGCTGATCGGGTGAGGGGGTTTGTTCTGTCGTTGGCGACCGTAGACTTTGGCTCGAATAACCTAGTCGTGACTAGTCCATACGTTCTCGTTAGTTCTCGGGAATGTCGCAAGAAGGGGGTTAAGCGGATGCTACGGTCGATGAATTCGCAGAGCGATCAGGAATGCGATCGGCTCCAGGACCTGTATTATTCTCACTTACTCGTCTGAAATCCGAGCGACCTATCGAGTCGCGGCGGCCGGAATCGGCTCTCGCAATATTTAGGAACACATCCTCGTTCTTTGGGCGGCCCTCGTCCATCGAGGACTTATCCTCGATTCCCCGATGAGTACCGTTTAAAGAGCCGTTAAGAGAGCGAGCATTGTCATTTAAGGTTCTGGTCGCTCCAGAATAAGCCAGACTTGATGGCATTGTTCTTTTCACATCAGGGCGATCTTGGTATAATTCGTCCTGTCTGGGCCTCTTTGAGGCATGGGGGGATTCAGAAGCTTGGGGGCTGGGTGAGCTGAAGCTTAGGACGGATCGCCGGGCGCGGTGCAATAAGGAGCGTTTAGTAGTTAGATTGGGTGTTTCATCGGTGGGGCCGCCGAAGCGAGTGTGCAACGACAAAGAACGCGAGTGAGGAAAATGTTGCAAATGTTGGAAACGTCGGTCACGGTCATAGTCATGATGTTGATTGACCTGGTTGGGCTGCAAATGGTCACGGGAACCTGCAGCCATCATGTACTTGGGTACTCTGTACTCTGTACGTTGTACAGAGTACGGTGAAGTACTGAAGTACTATTAGTACTATTAGTACCTTTTGTATGAAGTATTCCTTTGATTCTGGGGAAAGCTAGGATTGTATAGTTCCGACGGGTTGGAAATATGCACAGTTCATAGTCATTGCAGGATGTCAGTAAGGACTTGTGGACTTGACCTGTCAGAAAGAATATTGGATGCGGGTATACACTGTGGGAAAAAAAATTTCAATATGGACGAGCCTTTTTATTTTTTCTATTGGATTTTTGTTGACTTTTTTCTTTCTTTTTTGGCTAAGATTGAGATACTGAAGGTATATAATATGAGTTGGAAGGGCGACTCTATTCTGGATGATATAATTACTATTTAGGTACAGCTCTGGAGGAGTATGTAGACATCAGAATTGAAATATACGGGAAAGAAGAGAGAGCCCTGAAGAAAAAGAAGGAAAAAAATAGGAAAAAAACAAAAACAAAGCATGAACCATGGTTCATTCTGCTAAGACCATGGTTACTTTGAAACAAATTGAATTTGACGTGAAAAACAAACTGCTCGATTCGGGTAATGTACTTCAATGTTTACTACTATGTAGTATTGGATAATATCCATGGATTTACAAATATACATATAGCCTTGGAAGTACAGACCAAGACTTAATCAAATGTACAAAGTAGAAGGTTAGAGAATTTGGGGACCCTTGGTTATGTTGTCCCTACAAAGTACTGAGAGTCTGTCGGACTGAATGTGTGGATAAATTTCATTATATTCTAATGTGCTGCTTTCAATTCCTCCCCCAAAAAATCAGCTTAGGCTAGGAAAAGTAGTCTAGGTGCATGTTAGTTATCCTTGCTAGCAAATATCCAGCTTCCATAGGTCAATTGAGTGGCGAGGTAGTAGTGTGACACTGCCTCAGCCTTGGGACATTTGGGCTATACTTAGAGAAGAGACAAGCAAGGTCACGCCAATAAAGGGGCTTATTCAGTGATTTATGTCCTAGTGTGCGGAGTATTTCCGGTAGTCTTGCCAATATCACTTAACATGGAATCCTACAAATACAGAACGCCTTGTCCAGATCCCTGTATACCAAGTTACAGTAGCCGAATCCTTCAACCTGGGGCAGTGCCACTTAGCCATTGCGTGACAAATGGATTGTTCCGTGCATATTGTTGCAATCCACTACCCAGGCAGACAACTCATACGAAGGATGTGGACCAACTTGGTACTTTATTTAGATTGATCATTAAACAGAAATCTATTTGTGGAATAACCTGGAGAGCGCGCCATTGCGTATTGCAACGGGTGGCCAGTGAACCACAATGTCAT